TATATATATATATATATATATATATATATATATATATATATATATATAAAATCTCAAAGTTTAAATGTCCACTGAAGAAGTTTTTATAATAACTACCCTAGTAGTAATGAGTACTACTAGTGCCCAAGCTGTGGTCTCTGAAACACCTTTCCATTAAAAAGAACCAGGGCTCTTTGGAGAAATGGGCTGGGGTTGGAAATGTACAAAATGAACCTGCAACATCATCTCAGAAAAGCAAAGAAGCTACCAACAGCCTCTTGACGTCATGTCAAAAGGACACAGGGCTCATACTGAAGGAGCTGACCTTCACCAACGTTTGGGCAATTGAAGCATCAAGTTATTCACTGCGATAAATTAAAACAGATAACATGTTTAAAATCCGTGTATATAAAACACACTCACTGGTTACCTTTGAAGAATGCTAGCACGTCTCAGTTTTCTCAAAGTAAAGGAGAAGAATGAAGCTTTTATCCTGCCTCTCCTGAACAAACTGTACCTTAGGGTAACCAAAAAATTGGTAAGGGAAAGTTTTTCCTTATGGAAGAATTCCAGCGAATAGATACAGAATGGATGACATAATTAGAAAATCACCATTTTGTAACTCCTGATGAAATAATGGGTGTAAGGCAAAGATCATCAATGATTGCTAAAACCATGCTGTGAAAAATGTTGGAGAATTTTTTAATAGATGGATGACAACACTTGAATGATCAAAATAAACATCACAGAAGTGCATCAGATGTCATGTACCTTCTGATATGATGCAAAGGGAGCACATGTCCCACCTATGAAAGATTCTCAAACATACATACAAATTTCAATCTAATTAAGCCTCTAACTACCAGCTTACAGGAAAAACAAGGAAAAGAGAAATTAAACTACAGAGTATCATTACAAAATCCGAACTGTGGTAAGCCCTACAGGAAAAACTTACCTGTCTTTAATAAATGGAAATAAAAGGAAAAAGCATATGTGGAGGAAACCCATAAACTATAAGACTCAAGCATACATTAACTACATGCAAGGTGTGAACCTTGTTCTGATCCTAACTGGAAGAAGCAAAATGTAAAAGAACAAGTCACAATTTGGGATAATTAAAACACTGGATATTTGATATTAAGGAATTATTGCTAATATTTTAGGTGTGTTAATGACTTTGTAGTTGTATATTTAAAAGTCATTTTTCCCCATTATCTTTTTTTCTAATAGGTGTCGGTAACCTTATGTATTATTAACAGCTTTACTGAGACAACTCACATACAATTCACCCACTTACATTGCAGAATTCAATGGTTTTTAATATACTCAAGAGTTTTACAGTCATCACTACAGTCAATTTTAGAACATTTTTGCTGGGAAACAAGCTGCTGGAAAACAAGCCGCTGGAAAATGAACAGCTGGAAAACAAGCTGCACCTAAATTTCCATGAGCTTAAAATATTATATTCACACTTGCTTGCTTAAAATGCGCATGCTTGCTTTGTTTTAATGTTTTATGCAGTAGATGACCTATAGCGCGTATTATGCTAAAGAAAATTTGTGGTGAGCAATCCTGAGATTGACCATAAGGGCACAAAGGAGGGCAGATACTTCCTTAGGGTGAAACAATGAAAAGCCAGATCATCCCTTAACAGAACTTTGTTCAGGCATGAAAGTATGTGGTTAAGCCTAGGGGGACTATTTGCTATCTCAAGATGTCCCAGAGGCAATAGCAGGATAGATTTAGAAATTCTGCATACCCCGAGGAGGGTGATTGTTCCTGGAAGGGATGGGCCTGAAATTAATCAGTTAACCAGCAAGCAGAACTTAGTGCTTATCGCATGGAATATCTAAAGCCCCACCTGTTTGATCGCATTTTTTTCTGAGCTGTATACTCCTAATGAATATGATGCTGACCAGGCTTTTGGGACTCTGGATCCACGAGATCTTGAGTCACCCAGTTTCATTTTGCTCTTTACTCTGCCTCTTTGTTTCTTAAGTCTTGCGTTGCTCTGTCAGACACGGTCCCGAGCTGCGCTGGATGCAGCACATTTCCATCACCCCAAAAGAAACATTTAGCAGTTACATTTCCTCCAAAACTCCTCCAGCCATAGGTAACCACTAATTTACTTTCTGTACGGATTTGCCTATTCTGGAAAAAGACCATTATCTTTTAGAGACATATTCTTAGGCATTTACATGTGAAATGATGGATCTGGGATTTGCTTCAAAATAAACCAGTGGTGGCTTAGAGTAGGTGGGAATAGATTAAATTTAAAAAGCAGAATGCTGACAGTAAATGCAGCTGAGTAAGGCATAGGGGAAACTTGGGATTTCATCACACTATTCTCTTGACTCTTGTATGTTTGAAATTTTCAACAATAAAACCAAACAGAGTCGTCTATTTTACAGTAATGAAAAGTCCCAAGGTGGGCACAGACAATACTACTTGATTCAGTGACTCAGGGAGGATCCCATTACTGATTCTGGTTCTTTCCATCTTTCTGCTCTGCTCTGCCATTCTCAGCATGCTGACTTTGCCCCTTGGGCTGGTTTTCTCATGATGCTGGCAAAGCAGGACTGTTCCACATATTACATGCAGACAACACTGTCCAGAAGCAGTACAAGGAGACACACTAGTGTCTTATATCCATTATAAAAGAGAGGGAAGCTGCCCCAGAAGCCCCCAGCAGACTTGCCACTTCTCCTTGGCCAGAACGCCCTTGCCTAATTCACACTCAAGAGGCATGAGACTAGCCAGACTCTTCATCTGGAAGTTAAGTTCTAGACTTTCTGGAAGAATCTGCAAATTGCACGGTCACCTGCGCTAGTATGAAGTAGGCAAATAAGACGGTGATGGCCATAGAGTAAAGCATCCAGGAAGGTCACACCCAGGAGAATCTGCAAGGAAGACTGGTCACTGGAGTATCCCAGATACCAAAACACAATCCAGGAGCTTATCTATGCCTGACGTTCTGTGGAGCCAGAGTGGTCCCCGCCAGAAGGCCGGCCCGGTAAGTTTTCCTGTGGCCTCTCCCTCCTTGAAGAGCCAGGACAGGTGAGCAGGTATGCGGGTCTCAGCCCCACTAGGCAATAAGACTGAACACACAAACGGTGGCCGGACCACATGTATCAGAGCTCTCTGACCCACAACCTCAGTAGCAACAGGCCCCAAACAGTCGGGACTTGGTCCGTAACTGCCAGCTGCACAATTTTTTGGCCGCTTCTCCCACCAAGGACCAACCAGAGAAAGCCAAATAGGCTCCCCTGAGCAATCATATAGGATGACCCACTACTAGTTAGCCGGCCAACTTCCACACTCCGCCGAGAGGTCCCAGGACACGGCCGAGGCCTTTCCCGTTTGTCGCTGCCACGCTTTCCCCTCTGCCTGCCTCTGGGCTTCTGCCAAACGCTCGGCTGGCGGCGGACTCCCCTCGCAGGCTGGAGCTCTGCGGAAACAGCCGCGGGGGTCCTCATCAGGTGGTCCGCCTTCCCTTCCTCGGCAGGTCTGGGCATGGCCGAGGCTGCGCACCGTTCAGGGGCCCACGTCCGGCCCCCGACCTGCGTCGCAGACGCCCCTGTGGAGAGTCAGAGTCGTCCGTTAAACCGGGCCGAGGGGCAGAGCGGACGGGAGCAACATTCTCAACCACAATACGAGCCGTTGTCGAAGAAAAATAGCTGGGT